TACTTCATCAAGAACTCTAACTTTTGCGTATCTCATTACTAACCATTAACAAGTTGTACATACATTTCAAAAAGGCAGTGTTACTATGTGAGAAGTCAAACAACTTTTCTTTAATTATTATTTTTCAAACAATTATTTATTTTTATTTTTTATGAGCATGGTGTCTGGGCTAGCTTTCGAGCACCTCGACTCATTCCACAAGTTATCTACCATCTCCGACCCGCAACAAATATAGGTAACTCTGTCCACTAAGGCTAGGCCAGATGGGAAGAATCACCTAGTGTTTGCTTTGTCTCCACTTCTGAACCTGAGACCACAAGGTTCTCAACCACTTTATTGACCACAAGGCCACACCCTTGGGTGCTATTTTTTTCAAACAATTTTAAGTACTTCCTAACATAAAATCTTGTGATTTCTACTGCTTCTTACAGTTTCTAAATATACAAATGTTATCTAAAATACTCTAAATCGATGTCCAAATTCACACGGACTATTAGATGACCAATGGCAGATCCAAGTACGGGTTCGTGGGCTCAGTAGAACCCATAGGTTTGCGGTCGAACCCTATATTTGTGTGAAAACAGGTACAAATAGAGTTAGATGTACATTTTAGAACTCATCCTTCAACTCAAAACCAAGTAAAACCAACAACACTTATGTTCTGAATCTCCCACTATGCTTACCCACATAACCCTAACACAACAATTCTTTTTGGTATTGATGGAGTAAATATATAAATAATATAAGAAAGAAAAACCAGCAGCAGCACAACTGAAAAACTCACTTCTCTCACAGAAAAGGAAAAAACTGAAACCTTTCAATTCCATGCATCATCCCGTCATTATCTTATGTTCATTTTGACAGCATCATCACAATTTACATATATTAAGTATGTTAAAAAAAATTGCAACAAGCAGAAATCTATATGGACCATAATGTCATACATTTTTTCCAGAAAGGAAGTTTGGATAAGAGAAGAGGAAGTACAATTCGGGTGGTTACCTCCTGTGAACTGGGATCCAAAGTGGTCATAGTAGCACTTCCTTGATTCATCATCCTCTCATTAACATCCTGCTTAACCAAACATTTCAGTATTCAGATATCTATAACAAAACCACCACACCACACCACACAAGAAAAAAGATAGTCATAAATTGAATTGCAGCCTAATGGTTACAACACCTTCTTACATTCATAGGTGGTTCAAATCCCACAAAAGGATCCTTTTCTACACTTCTATCCCGACTATTTATGCGACTACCCCTTACTCCAGCAAATTTTATGCAAGAAAGAACCTAGCCAGGACTAAAACTGCAGCCTAATCATCACATCTCCACCTACCTATGTCACAGGTGCAGGAATCCAAACCTACAAAAGTGGTTTCTACATTTCTATTCCAACTATTTAAGGGATCACCCCTCACTCAAAAATACTTGAAAAAACAAAAGAGAACTAGAAGTACAGCATAATATGCAACTCCACTTACCCACCATTACATGTGCGAGTTCCAATCCCACAAAAAGTGTCCTTCATAAATTTCATCTAGACTATTTGCAAGACCACCTTCAACAACAACAACTACGCCTCAGTACCAAACAAGTTGAGGTCCACTATGCTTTGGATCCTAACTATTACATGTGCAGGTTCCAATCCCACAAAAAAATGTACTTTTTAAATATCATCTCGACTATTTGCAAGTCAACCTTCAACAACAACAATTACGCCTCAGTACCAAACAAGTTGAAGCCGTTATCTAACAACTAAAGAGCTCATATATCATGCTTCCAGCATATACTGATACCAAAATCAGTCAAACCGTAAATATCCTACTTCTACCCATATTATAAGTGCTCGCCATCTCACTTGCATAAAATACCCAACACCCTTAACACATCCGATAAGCATTTACCAACACAAACACTTGTCTTAAGTCTCAACTTGCCTTAAGCCCAAAGTACAAAATGTCAAATTACGGATTTGTCCATTCACCATGTTTATAGGTCCAAAAAAATGGGGAAAAAAAACTAGCTAGAATTGGAACTACAGCTGCAACTTTTCCTACATCAATCATACTTTCTAATCTCACAAAAAGGGGCTTTTTCTAATAAATTAAAATAAATTGGGGAAAAATTAAAAACTAACCGAAATCTGAACAAATTGAACAGCTTGAGCCTTCAAGGAACGAAGAAACAATCAACCTCGAACAAAGCAACACCCTTATATGTATTACCAAAGCAAATTGAGACGAAAAAAACAAAAAAAATATGGAAAAAAAACAGAGAACGATTAGCAACGAAGAACGATTACAAATATCGATTTGGTAAGAAACTACAGTATAATTATGATTCGAAGAACAGAATTTATTCAATGTTGAAGAAGAGATTTTTGATTTATGAAACTAACTTCGGTAGAAAAAACGAAATATGGAGATTTGTGTGTTTATATATGCGTAACTTGATTTTCAGTAGAAACAAGTTTCAACCCGATTGACTTATTCGGGTCGTAATTTGGAGGTCGTTTGAGTTCTTTTTTGCATTTTTAGTTGTTCCTTCCTCCGTCCCTAATTACTTGTCAATTTTTTCTTTTTTTTTTATGACAAAAAAAACCTGCAGTCGCTACCCTTTAGATGCGCACAGGGTAAAACCCTCGCTCATATCTCTAATTATTTGTCCATTTTGACAAATCAAGAAAGGACAAATTCTTTTTACCTATTATACCCTCAATTAAATGACTAATTATTTTGAAAAATGTAGAACTTTTCATCCACTTAATAATTAATAGAGGTAAAATGGTAAATTCACTATGTCATTAATTATTTAATAGATGTGTCAATTCATAAGTGAACAAGTAATAAGGGACAAAGGGAGTATAATGTATGGTTGAGTTGAGTGTGTATTAGAAATAATTTTTTATCCGTTAACGGATAGGTAAAATCTATTTATATTATACATTCTTCGAATTTCAACTGTGTAACTATATGGATACGTTATTGTTGTGTAATATATTATATATGGTTGATCTCTCAATTTCGTAAATCTTCACTGATTAAATGAATTATTATTTTTTAACATTTTTTATTTATTAGTTTATTGTGTTGTTATTTCCAATTTTTGAGATAAAATATATAGTTTATAATAGAGTATATATAACATGTTTTTATACTAAAGACACTTAGTCAACACAATTATACAATTATCGCTTAGAACAATAATTGAGTATCACAAAAACAATTGAGATGAGAAAGAGATCACCGATGAAAGCTTTTAAATAGCTAGAATAGTACCAAACATAATAAATATAAAGAGTACTAGACATGGATGAAGTGAAGGAAGGGGCACAAATAATTTGTAGAAAAAGTATTTTATCTTGTTTAATTGTTTAGGCATCACGTGTTGATTCATGCACTTTATATGAGAGATTGTCAATTACGTGTATAGTAAGAAGTAATCCTTAATAAATGTTAGATGTTCAATTGGTCAGATTCTTAGTTTAGATATCTAAACAAAATTGTATAATTTTCTATTGTCCGAGTTGAAGGTAGAAATACATCAAGATTTTGCGTGCTTACTTATATTGCTTTTGATTTTCATATTATGGATCTTAGTTCACACTTTATGGAATTTCCACTAGAAAAAGAATCCAGACATTTCTCATTTACCTATTATGGAAAACGTTTGGACTCTGTCTCTTTTCCTTTCGTTCTCTTTTTTCTTTTATGAATTGTTATAAAAAATGGTAGACTGCACATAAAAGGATTCGGGTGGGGGGAGCGTCTGCCTCCTCTATATCCAACAACTAAATAAACGGTAAAAATGTAATTTCTTAATTTCGATATAAAGTAAATGAGTACATCAAAATCGGATATTTGTGCACTTCGTCCGAGGAAAAATAAAGGAGGAGGAGGTTTCACAATTGGGGAAAACTCAAATGTGCTTAAGAGTGAGAAGCCCACTCCATGAAACAACAAAACAATAAGCCCATAGCTGTTGCGGCCCAAACACTAGTTATAAAAATCAGAGAGTGACTACACTGTTTACTCTTTTGAACGAATTGGATCTAGGGTTCTTACAATTTTCTGTGCCTTCTTCGATCTGCAGGTAAGCGATTTGCGATTTTCAGACCTTTTTTTCTCATATTTTTGATAAAAATATGTTCTTTCATCATAGATATATGTGCGTGTGCATAATTCATCTAGGAATTGCTATTAATTCCGAGAAATTTGGATGAGATTGTGTTTTTTTGACTCGGAACATTCATTCAAGAGGTGTTTTTTTTCGTTTCTAGTTTTGTTTGGTGTTTTATGGAGCTGGCGTTTGTGCTAAATTCATTTGAAAAAAATGTAATTGAGCTGTTTTTTATTATTAAGAAGTCATATAATTTGAGAAATGAGCTAATTGGGTAATTTCTCTCGGTATGATGAGAATTTGTAATATATATGTGCTTTTTGACCTTGAAAATTCATTCAAGATGCCTTTTTTAGTTTTAGTTTTGTTTGATGTTTATTGAGGTGGCATTTTGTGCTAAAGTGATTGGAAAATAGTAAAGGAGTTATTTTTATGTTTAAGAGATCATATAATATGGGAAAGGAGCCAATTGGGTAGTTTCTTTCAGAGAAGATGTGGTGGTATGATGATATTTTGTATTATATGTTCTTTTTGTAGTTTTGTTTGATGTTTTATTGAGCTGGCATTTTGTGCGAAATTCATTGGAAAAAAGTAAAGCAGCTATTTTTTATGATTAAGAGATCATATAATCTGGGAAAGGAGCTAATTGGGTAGTTTCTTTCAGAGAAGATTCTGCGCTATGATGAGATTTAGTATTATATGTGCTTTTTGACATTCGAAAATTCATTCATTAGGCATTTTTTCAGTTCTAGTTTCGCTTGATATTTTATTGAGCTTGCATTTGTGCTAAATTCATTTGCAAAAAAGTAATGGAGTGATTTTTTTTTTTATGATTAAGAGATAGTATAATTAGGAAAGGAGCTAATTGGGTAGTTTCTTTCAGAGAAGATGCCGCGGTATGATGACAGGTATGGTGGCACGCGCCTATATGTTGGACATTTGTCATCCCGAACGCGATCTCGAGACTTGGAGGACGTCTTTAGCAGATATGGGAGGTAATTTTTTAACCATTCATTAGTTTTATGCAGTGGTTGGAAACATTGTTAATCAAATTTGAGTAGTTCGAAATTGAGATTCCAAGAGAACAAAGATTGAACTTTTTAGTTGTTTATTTTTGGTAGTGGAACGAAATACGCCTGAGTAGAGTAGATTGGATATAAATAAAGGGTTCAAATGGTTGATCTCAACTTGTCCGGTATTAGGTGTTGATTGACTGATTGCTGTACCTAGTAATTATTTATTGTGATCATTTTTCAGAAATGATGTTGCTTCTAGTAGTTCACAATCTTTGTTCTTGGATGTAAGGTGATCTTTGGGGGTAGAGATGAGACACACAAGTCATTACAGTGGCCTTTGTTTTTTTAATTTGTAGAAAATGTGTGAGAGCAACACCCCGTGTCTTGGTGTTTTTAACTCGAATAATGTTTATGAAGGTTTCTATGTTTTTGCCCAATCCGGAGGTTTGTGGTGGGAGGTTGCCCTTGATGGAATTGGTTCCCATTCTTGCGGAGTGTGGCGATTCTTTCTATAATGTTATTGCGTATTTTTTTGATGGAAATGGCACAATCCAAAAAGTGGTGTTTAGTTCATCTTTGAGGGGCGAAGTATCAACCCTTTGGTTCTTATGACTTGATGGCCTTACTGTTTCTGGAACCCATTTACGCAGAGTACGTGATGTGGATATGAAGCGTGACTATGCTTTTGTGGTACGCCCTTCTTTTTCTTTTTTTTCACTTCTTCATTAATGATATTTAATAGGGTTGTAGGGTGATCATCTAATCCTTATTTCATATATTTGTGATTTAAGATTCTCTCTCTTCTCCATATACTGCTAAATCTAGGAGTTTAGTGATCCTCGAGATGCCGATGATGCAAGATATGGCCTAAATGGGCGAGATGTTGATGGAAGCCGCGTTATCGTGGAGTTCGCCAAAGGGGTGAGTAACAGTTTGGATTTGATGTGTTTGTAACTGCAATATCATAGTATCTTTATGTTTTATTTGTGCAACTCTAGACACGTGGACATGTGCATTTTGAATATCAATGCAAAAAAAAAGAACAACTAAAAAGAATTTCAGGCTTTATGCCCAATGAGTGTTAAAATATGGTGGAGCTGGTTTGAACTCAATTATTTTGGAGATGATGCTTCGGTTCTCAATATAAGTATTTTACTCTACATTTGGCATGTCACGGAGGGGAGAAAGAAGATCTTGGTTTATCACTTTTCCTTAAAGTAGTTAAGTTGCTTCAAGGATTTGTTTTCTTGGTATTTTCAGGAGTTATGCACGCGTTAATCTATCTAATGTTCCAGATTGGTTAAACAAAAAATTGTCCTTTTTATGTTGTAATTTACTTGCATTGCAGGTGCCTCGTGGTCCAGGTGGATCTCGAGAGTTTGGTGGCAGAGGTCCTCCTCCAGGTACAGGTCGTTGCTTTAATTGTGGAATTGATGGACATTGGGCTCGAGATTGTAAAGCTGGGGACTGGAAGAACAAGTGTTACCGCTGTGGAGATCGAGGTCATATAGAAAGAAACTGTCAGAACAGCCCCAAGAAATTGAAGTATTTTCCTAGTTGCCACCTTATTTCACCCTGTGTATTTTTGATGTTCTTGTATACTTTAATGGTTAAGGTTATTATTTGTTATTTGAATAACAGACGTGACCGAAGTTATTCCCGCTCGCCATCTCCTCGGCGTGGAAGAAGCCGCAGCCGCAGTTACAGCAGAGGTCGTAGCTACAGGTCTCTCACTTTGCTCCTTTTTGGAATGTGCTCCATTTCACTTCATTGACAGCTTTAGTCTTATGTTTTGAGATTCTGAATTGGCATTGTCACTCATGGTTACAACGACATACCCAGTGAAACCCCACAAAGTGGGGTCGGGGGAGGGCAGAGTGTACACAGTCCTTAACATTGTCAATCATGGCTGAAAACTTGAAATAATACCATGGATAAGTAATTGCATTTGTCCTTTCATAGATGTATTATGTGGATAATATATGAAAGCTTGTATTGTTAAACCAAGAAAGTGTCATGTTATGGCATCACCTACTAAGTGCTAACAGATTCTGGTTATCTCAACTAACTGGCCTTTATGGTATTAAAACGTATTTGTACCCATCACTTTATCTATCTATACAAATAAACAAGATATTAACATATACTGTGTTTGATTTCTTTGCAGCCGATCCAGGTCTCCTGTGAAGAGGGACCGTAGCATTGAGCGTGAAGAGAAGAGATCAAGGAGTCCTCGCCAACATAGGCCATCACCACCTCCATCAAAGGGAAGGAAACACAGCCCTTCACCTGATGAAAGAAGTCCACAAGAGAGAGGTACGCCATCACCAAGGGATGATAGGGCAACCAATGGTTCTGACCGCAGCAGGAGCCCTAAAGATGATGCTAGAATGGATGAACGTGGAGATATTAGCCCTGTTGAAGAAAATGGCCGTAGTCGCAGCAATAGCCCCATCCATAGGGAGGACAGAAGCCCAGTGGAGGACGGAAGCCCAACAGGTGACTATGAAAATCATGGTTCTCCAAGGGGTTCTCCAAGGGGCAGTGAGTCACCCTAAAATGTGCATATGATACATTGTGGTAAGTGAATGTTTGACTCACAACTATGCATATGATACTGTCAGTGTGGCAAGTGAATATTTGACTCACAACTATCTCATCCTTGGCACTTTGATTTTGTAGTATTTTTTCCCTATATTTGGAAACCATGTAATTGATTTTTCTTAGAATGACCGGAATTTGCACATGGTGTGTTCTATTTTTGAGACTACATTAAAAACTTGCTTGGTGTTATGTGCTTCAGCTTGAATTTGATTGGTATCCTCGGAACTCTGTTTGAAAGTGATCTGTTGTGGGGAGTGGCAGATACCACATAGAATGATTACAATGAAACTACAGGGTCGTGTATGTTATTTGTGCAGCTGGCTTTTGGTGTCTTTTGATCTGGTGTTGGGAGTGGCAGATACCAGATAGCATGATTACAATGACTTCTGGTAATAATATGTTACAGTCTCGTGGAAAATCATGTCGGAGTTCAAGATGTTAGACATGAATCTTTCTACATAGTACTCGTAAGTTTGTTTTGAATCAGTGTGGATATTGTGTTGTGAATATCTAAAACTCCGAGAGCAGTAGTTGCTTCATAGGGCAACTACTAGCTATCCTTGCCGGAAGTTTGAATTTTCACTAAGGAGATTCATCAGTATATAAAGAAGTAATCACACGAAAAAACTAATATAGGATCGAGATTGGATATGTTGGCTCCTCCTCAATATGAAGAAAGGGTCAGTTCCAGATAGAATTGCGAGAACCAACGTTCAGACTATGGTCTATGAGAGTGAAAATTGATTTCAATCGGACGTCTTATCATCATATAACAAAGTACTAGTAGTGTGTCAAACAAGTTCAACATCAACGATTTCCCAATACAAATCTAATATTTGTACTGTGAAAGTCATTATATGCCAAAAGTTAAATTCGGAACCTAATTATTAACACTTGATGTCGTCGTTCTAGAATTTAGAATTTTCTAAGTTTGAATCCTGGCTATACTTTTGTATATGTCATTACAAATGTAGGTGCAACTAATCGAGGAAGTAAACACTAGACATAATTTTTGCTATTTTTTGATGTATTATAAAGTTCTTATATAAATTATTTATACCATGTAAAGCCATTCATCAATCCATATAAGTTGCACAACATATAGATCGCTAAAACTAAATTTAGTGATAATGGTAAATATATCATGACACGTGATTCCCAAATCATACCTGAAAAGGCACCAAAAGCAAAATAGTCTAATGAGAATCATCATCACATATATGCTCAAGAATATGTCATGAGACAAGGTGAATTTAGAATTTGAAGTTTATAGTTTCTGAATATTAGGGAAAAAATAATTTATTTGGTTTTGGATGAATCATTTATTCATGTTAGTAGAATTCTTAACACTAATGCAAAATTTTGGCCAAAGTTATTGAATTTTATCGAGCTTGTAGCTAGTACTCTAGCTTCGTCTCTGCATGCCATTCAGTTTGTACAATCAACTAGAGGTCGGTGACCCCATTGCTTTGTTGGGAAATTATTTTAGACCTGGTGTGGTCTATCCATAATGGGCTAATTAGATGGTTAGTGTATTATTTAGTGAAACTGTAGTGAACAGAGTTATCAAATACTTGTGTTGATATAAATAAATAGTTCCATATACTTAACTTTGATGAACAAAATTTACTAATATCTATCCTAATAAAATATATCTAATGTCCGATAAAATATGAATTGATTTGAACATCACTATTGTATAAAGAAAAATTAGAGAACCCATCACGTTGATAAAGAATATATAGGACATTAGAGTGGAAAAGCTAAAAGCTAATTAGTCATTATATTCAATTATAGAGGCTTTGCATCATTATGCATCACAAAGGATGAACATGAACAAACATAATTGCCAAATGCTCCTTCCCACTACCTTACCTTTCTAACCTTTTCTTTTAACTCGATACTTGGTACTTGTATTGGGATTTGATAAAATTTGGATTCTCGACGGAAAGTCCATATTGATGACACTATATCGAGAGAATTCGAACCCAAAATTTCTGATTAAGAATGAAGAAATATTTATCACTCCACCACAATCCTTGTTAACCTTTCTGACTTTCTTCATAACCTCTTTTAACGTTTTTGCATGTTTCTTGGAACTAATTAAAGGTATTTAGTAAATACTTGTAGTTTAATTATTTTTACGAAAAAGGTCCCAAATATATCTTTAAAGTATTCGAAATGAATAGCTATGTACTTCATTTTGCTCAATTTTGCATATTTTAATTAGGAGCACATTAAAATTACTTTGAGGCATGAAAAAAATGGCCCTATATAAGAAAATATTATTTGTTGATAATGATTTGTATTTTTTAAATCATATAACGCATAGATCAGTTAGCATGTAGGATCATACATCAATTATATTCCAAATCCACCATAAAACCTATAAGATATTGTTCTAAGAAAACTCATTAATTGGTAACTTAAATAAGAATTTAATAGTATCAATTTCAAAATATGAAACAACCAAAAGATTTTGAGTAGCTTAAATCAAATAAATCAATTGTATTACATATATTGATGACCTATTTCATGATATTACTGGATTATAAACTTTTCGCGAAATAAAATTTCATTCACTTGGCAAATAAAGTGATCATCATCTTTTTTTCCGCTTTGCCAATCGTATCATTTTCTAAAACAAGTGATCACACTTTTTTAGATTTTCGCTTTTCCTTATTAGTCGTTTTTCTAAAAAGAAACAATGCAAAGAACGTAACATGTTCTTTTCTCAACCCCTTTTTTTTCTTCATACATTCACTCTATCCAATAATTCTTTAGCCATACACACCACAAAATGATCGATAACAACTTCTAAAATAAGTGATCATACTCACTTTAACTTTGTCAAATACTTTTTCTCACTAGTCGATTTTTATACAAAGAAACAATGGTTATGTTCTTTTTCAACCCCTTTTTTCCTTCATACATTCACTCTATCCACTAATTCTTCAGCCACACACGGTTCCACAAAATGATCGATAACAACTTTTAAAATAAATGATCACACTCTCTTTAACGTTATCAAACACTTTTTTTCACTAGTCAATTCTTTTTTTTTTAAAAACGAAACAAATAACATTTTCCTTTTATTCAACCTTCCTTTTTCATACCATCACTCCCTCCACTATTACTTCAGCCACACACGGTACCACAAAATGATCGATAACAACAACTAGATAAACATTGAATAATATTTTTTTGTATTCAAAGTGCACCTCAGTTGTACTAATTAAGTTTTATATGCATTATATAATATGATTTATAAGTACTTACATTATATTATTTATTATATTTTTCATTACGAAAAAATAAATAAAATACAAGTGAAGAAAAGTCAAGACACACCATTAAAGAATATGGTACAGTGGATAAAGTTGTTCCTCTTTTAATCAGAGTCTCAGTTCGAGCTCGAGCCTGAGTATGGAAAAATCTTGGTAGGAAGCCTATCCCTCGAATAGAGTCCAACCAAACACAAATTCGAATTAGTCAGACTCTAATGCAGATATCGGACACCGAGTGAAAAAAAACAAAAAAATAAAAAAATAAAAGTCAAGACGCTCCAAATAAGGCCCACAAGCCCAAAATAAAAGCCCACTATTCCAACCAAAAAAGGAAGAAAATAAAACGTTACTTTTATTTATTCGGCCCCGCTTTCTCCGCCACATTGAAATTTTAAAAACTTTTATTTGGACCAAAATACCCTTCATAATATATCAAATTCCTTCTAAATACCCTATTAGTCCAAAAATAACTGGACCTAAAATACAGCATTTTCAAGAATTTTCATACTAAAAAATTCTCTATCGAATTATTCTTTGATTCTTCTGAGTTGAACCGCATAGATTTCAACACCCTTTTGCCGGCTCTTACTCTGTCAACTGTTTGATTCAGTAATCTCTCTATTTTTTATTTTTTTTTACTGTGTGTATTTTTTGCAGTTTTATATACATATATGTGTTCTTTGTGTTCTGTAAGTGTTTCGTTTGGTAAAATTGAGTGGAAATGTTGATTAGAATTGAATTTTGATTTGACCCTCCAGATGGGTTTTTTTTTTAGTTACTTACCATTAATTGGTGTAGACTGATTATCTGTTTTTTCAGAAGGATTTGGTAAGTTTTGAAGTTCTTTGAATTGATCTTGTGCTGTTTGTTTGTGTGTAGTTTGTTGATTTTCAGTAGAAGGGTGATTTGGAAAAGTTAAGTTGTATAGCTTCTTGTTTTGAGGTTTATTGAAAAGGGTTTATCTGGGTTGAGAAATGCAGATGGGTGATGTTAGATATTGGGATTCAAGGGTTTGTTCGTTTTTTTATGTTTTACTTCTTTTGGTTTTTGGAGGGGATATCGGAAACAACGTCTTTTATCTCTGTGGTAGGGTAAGTGGTGCATACCGTCTGCCTTCTCCAAACCTCATTTTGTGGGAGGGGTATGTAGTTGTTGTTTGGTTTATGGATATGTGATTATTGCAATTTGAGGTGATAATTTATGTTTCATTCTTTGGTGTTCTGATATAATAAATCATAAATTTGTGAAGTTTTTTTAGTTATCCAGTATTAAATATGGATTACTAATAACAGGTGGATTTGAATGATTAAAGGGTGTTTCTAGGGTTTAAGAGGAATTAGGTCCAGGGGTAGTGTGGTCTTTTATGTTATGGTAGACTATCATTTCAGATTGACAGAGTGTGCTCATTACTGTTCCTGACACTAATGATTTTTTAAAATCAGGAGTTGGAAACAAATTGATTGATTTTTGTTGGGGGCTTTTGAAAAATTTCTTGCTTTTTAAAAAGGGTTGGTGAAATAAATGTTCCATTTGCCTCTCCCTTGCTAAAACTTCATGGTAGCTTATGATATACACTGCAAGCAAATGTGTTCTACATTTTCTGCTTTGTGTTTGTTAGTGCTTGAAAACTAATTGATCCACTTGAGCAGTTGAGCCTCAGTACTAGCAGGTAAAAAGTTATTTCTTGGTTGGTTCAATGATGGATTCTCAGTCAGATTGACCATCTGAACATGTTGAATAAAGAACATGTATAAGAGATGTCTGTGTTTTTTATTTTGTATGTTGAAGAAGAATCATACAGAAGAGAGTTCTCTTGCTTTGTCTTATAAGTATTTAGTTAGCTACAATATTTGCTTAAATGGCTGATTGGTGAGAGTACATGGTTGTTTATGAGTGTTTTCTGGTGGTTTTCTTGTATTGCACTTGTTGTGTCAGTTTTACAGTTGAAAGATGTTCTTCCCCTTGATGCGTGTTAGAACTAAATCTCCTTTTGAAGTTGTTTTGATATTAAAGATTAGCATCGCTGACCCTACTATTTGAGATTGAGGTGTAGTTGATTGATTCATGATAGTTAAGGTTCAGATTAGTGTTGTTCCAATATCGCTGCAAACTCTTTAATGATGCAGTATATTCTCAATGTCCGGAGCACAATGCGTGATCTTAACTAGCCTCAATTAGGCTCTTTATCCTTTGAAATCTCACGGACTAGTTTGTATGTGCAGATTCATGTACAGTGTCCATACATAGAGATGAAGAGATTCTTTTTTTTCCGGACATCATCTAATGATGCAAACAACCCCTCACCACCATCGAAGGAGAAGTCATCTAACAGTATTGACAAATCACAAAGCAGAAAGGAAGTTTCTTCTCCAAGTCTTAGAAGGAGTCTTTCATTGTCCTCTGGATCCTTTTACGACAGTGGGTCAGGAAAAAAGAATTTCAGGGATCCGAGCAGATCTCCATGTCACAATAAGAAAGTTCATCCTAAGAAATCTGGTCGTGATTCATGCCGGTATGCATCTCATTTTCTGTAGCTATTTTTTCACACCTACACTGATGCTTTAGTTTGCATTTGCTTCTTCGAAGTAATGACAAATATTTCATAACTTTTGTCAGTGGTCGTGCACGTACTCCTGAGAGACAACCCCCAGAGAATTTCTTTCAGAGACATGATACAGAAAATGGCTATTTGTTTAGGAAGCACAGTTCTGGTGCGTCTTTCAGTACACACCACTATGATCCATCAGAGAGCTCTTCTCATTGCTCCAGTAATGTCTCTAGTAAAGTTTTAGATCGGTATATAGATGGGGAGCAAGAGCAGGAAAAGAGGGGCTCAGCTAACCTCTTTCCTACGGAAGATGATCTTGAGATTGGGTATGCCTGCAAACAGCTGCCTCCAAGAGTTCACCTTACAGCTCCTGGTTCACCACTAGCTGATGTCAGGAAGCAGAGACCAATGTCTCAATCTTTCAGAGAAACAAAACCATCTAAACTTTGTTTTACATCTGGAGAGTTGGGTGATACAGGTTTTGAGCATGAATCTCCGCGAAAACTTGCAAAGAAGGTGGTTGAGAGGCTCTCTCAGTCTCGGTCAATGGCGAAAATAAGTTCAGAAGATTTTGATTCCGATGGTCCAATTACTATTGAAGATATCTACAGTGGAAATCTAAGTAGATGTCCAAGTGTATGTTCTGATGGTGTTCCCCAGAAGAGCTGTTCAGCAGATGATCCTAATGGTAGGACCTACGAATATCACCATGAAGAGATTCCAGGCCTTGATGAGAAAAACTATTTGGGAATGGAAGACGATTCAGATTTGGTATTATTAAGAAAACTTAAGGAAGCTGAGGAGCGTGCTGTGTTGCTCTCAGAAGAGCTTGAAGAGGGGAAATTTCTTCATGGCAGAGGCCTTAGTGTTCCAATGTTGATTCAGACTATTAGAAGCTTGACAGAGGAGAAGGTACAAATGGCTTTTGAAGTTTCAAGCATGCTACAGGATCAAGTTGCTGAAAGGGCTTCTGCTAAGGAAGAAGCCAGACTATTACAGGAAGAATTAGACTCACGGACACGAAGATTGGAGACGGAGAAGAATGAATTACAATCAGCACTGGAAAAGGAGTTGGATAGAAGATCCAGCGAGTGGTCTCTAAAACTTGAGAAATACCAAATTGAAGAACATAGACTCCGTGAAAGGGTGAGAGAGCTGGCAGAGCAGAACGTCTCTCTACAAAGGGAAGTCTCTTCATTTAATGAGAAGGAAGTGGATAATAGAAGCAAGATATCATTTTCAGAGAAACAACTTGAAGATTTGTCTAAGAGAATTGAAGAAGTGTCAGAGGAGAATCAAAATCTAAGGCAGCAACTTTCTCAGTTACAAGAGGAATATCGAGTAGCTCAAGACGACCGAGAGTATGTCCGGGAAAACTACCAGGAAAAGGTTAAAGAATGCGAGGACCTGCACAGATCTATTGCTAGATTGCAACGGACTTGCAATGAACAAGAGAAGACAATTGATGGTCTGCGAGGATTTTGTGAGGATGTTGGCAAGAAGACTCCAGCAAACTACGACAACCAGTTGGAGAAGTTGCAAGTAGAGCAAATAAGATTGGTAGGTGTGGAACGTGCTCTAAGGAAGGAGGTGGAGTCTTTTCGGATCCAAATTGATTCTCTACGCCATGAAAACATTAGCTTGTTGAATCGTTTAAGAGGCAATGGAAAGGAGGGTGGGTTCTCAACTTTTAAGCTAGATCAGGAATTATGCAATCGTGTTTGCTGCTTGCAAAATCAGGGGCTTAATTTACTTAAGGAGAGCAGCCAGCTTTGTGGAAAGCTATTAGAGTACACAAAAGAAAATGTCAGACAAAATGGGGGAATTGATGGTCAATTCTTAATTGAATGCAATGTAAAGATCCAGGGTCTTAAAAGGGGAATTGAAACTCTGACAAGCAGCTTGCAGACGGTGTCATCTGTGATAAATGAGAAGTCCTATCCAGTAAATTCAGATTCTCAGCCATCTAGCAGGGGTGATGCATTTCACCAGCAAAACAGTCAGAAACCAGATGTAAGTTGGTGCTGTTATTTTGCAAGCTGCCTATCATGCTCATGTGATGTTGATTGACTCTTTGTTTGGTGTTGTTTTAGGAAATCAAGCAATCAGAGCTCAAATCGGAGACTTTGCTGACAGCTGTGTTAAGGGAGAAGCTTTATTCCAAGGAGATGGATATAGAGCAACTTCTGGCTGATCTGGCAGCAGCAGTTAGAGGTAACGATATCCTCAAATGTGAAGTCCAAAATGTGCTGGACACTCTTTCTTGTGCCAAACACAAGTTGAAAGATCTCGAGCTTCAGGTAAGCAGGGAATATTAAGATCTTGCAGCAAGGGAATATATATTTATTTTTTTCAACTTTGGATACCTCATATGATAGCTTGTTTGCATGTTACTTTCTCTGCCATAGCTTTCTACTTGTTTTTTAGTCTTCTAGGTTCATCTTTGTTCTATCTGAAATTCAGGGTTTTCTTGGTGGAATTATATTACATGAATTACTGACATGTGAACAGTCACTGCTTCCGCTGTGGTAAATAATGAGAAATAATCCAAGGGTAGGGAATTCTAAAAAAAATAAAATCCAAGGGAAGGGAGAAGTCTATTAGACTGTTACAGCCTTGGTGGTGCTTAGGGTCTCCATCAGATTGTTTAGGATGTCCAATTGCTGCATGTCATAGATACAGTATCCAAATGCATAACAAAGCTCATTATCATGAGCTAGTAGAATAAGTAAACTGAAACTCATTTGGGGGGGGGGGGGGGGGTGTATTGGTTGAACTTTTCTATGAGTTCGATGTGAATTGCTGAATGAAATGTTATTTGTGTTCTTTCTCAGTCTTTCTTCTTTTTTATGTTTTATGGTTGATTCTGGCAGATGATAAAGAAGGACGAAAATATCAACCAGCTCCAGAATGATTTGCAAGAATGCATGAAGGAACTTAGCCTCATGAAGGGGATACTACCAAAAGTATCTCAGGAAAGAGATTTCATGTGGGAGGAAGTTAAGAACTACAGTGAGAAGAACATGTTGTTGAACTCTGAGGTCAACGCATTGAAAAAGAAGGTAGAGACACTCGATGAAGACATACTTATGAAGGAAGGTCAAATCACAATCTTGAAGGACAGCATAGGCAAGCCTTTCGATCTTCTTGCAAGTCCTGATTCTACTAGAGAATTTCTGCTGGAGTGATCCATCGCCTAGTTAAAGCATTTTGTTCATTTGACTAGTGTTCATACTTACTTGTATACTTGCTGGTTTTACTCTTTCTCCTTTGCCTTTTACTTTGATACCTGTTACATAGAAAGTTTGCTTCTTTCCCCCCCTTTTGAATCTCCAATTCAATTGTAAACACTTCTTTTACTTGTGAATTGTGATCAAGCCAATGAATTTCCCTTGCTTCCTTCATATGATTTTGTAAAGTATTGGTTGTTTTTTTTTGGAGTAATTAATCAGCAGAGGAGATGTAAAAAGCTTGGATTCATTAATATAAATGAAGATTGGTGATATTCTACTTGTGTTTGCAAACTCCGTATACTAAATTGGAGTTCGTGTACAATAACAATCCTAGCTATTTGATGCCGGTTCATCCACACTTCCATTCCTTGTATAGGATGGCTCATTAAACTTAGCAAGTTAACTTGGCATTGATGTATTCTTTCATAAAGGTTGAACTAAACTGAATGATAGTATTTTTTTTGTTCCTAAATGGATTGAAAGAAAGAAAAAGTTCCATATATTTGACATGAGGGGAAAATTATTGATATTTGCTCATGTCCAATGTTTATCAAATGTATAAATTATAGTTTGACAAATGTTAACATGTATCTTTTGTTCACCAACTGTATCTCGACTGATTTCACCGGGTAACTACTTTTCCACTAATACATGTACTGTCTATTCACCAAGACTTGAACAGATATGAAGAATTTAAGTGTTTTTTTTGCATTTGTTTTGGGGTTTAAACTAGAAACCTCAATTCATAATCCTCTTCATAGACTACTAGGCCACCCTTAGGTGCCTCTTTGCTACTAGCATGATTGCATTATCACTATTTCTTTTCCTTTTCACCTTGAGTACTTGGGAGCACGAAATCCAGGGTGCGCCTTATAGCGAGCATGAAGATAACATGAAAAAGATGGATAGCTTTTATTCATAATGCAGACATGAGAAAATTCAGCATCAGTAGCTTATACTGATAGACAAGGGATATTATGTCAAATGTATATGTAAATATGATAACAACCACATGATCAATGCCCCCATTAAGCAGCATATACACGAACGGACCAATGTTTGGTAGCAACGTTTGGTTGATACAACAGCTACTGAATGACATACCCGCTAACTCATACAGACCGATTCCAGAACTCAGCAGGCTTGCGGTGCTGAAAAAGATTCAATGCTACGTGATAAAAAGAAGAACAACAAATCTCAATCTCTGATATACATTTGCAGACTTCTCTTACCTTAGACACTGGCATCTTTGCTCGGACTGAATCTATTAATGAGAAGTCAATATCTGCAACAGTAATACCTGTTGACGACCGATCTGAAGCAGAAACAAGAAGACAAATGAATTTGTCATTGGAGTACACTTGATTATCAGGCTGTTATGAACAAACGCGTAAACAGAAAAGTTCTATGGTTTTTCTAGACTGAACATGCAACACTAAAAGCATGTCACTAAAGAAAGAACGAAGCTGCTTAATGTCTATATCACCATGAAAAGGAAAAAAAGTTGTTTTCCTTTTTTAAATACTAAGGTGGATATGTGGGAACCACAATTGCACAATCGAAGTATACAAAATTGAGAAGTCTACTCAACAAAAAGAACTTGGTAATCTAATTCCAGTGCGTTGTCCGTCATTCCTCATATAAGACCCTTTTAAGTGGAAACAAATCCAGGAATTAAATTTCACACTCCATTGTCAGCCAAAAGGATAGTGGCCATCGGAGTTCATGTATAGTAGCGTTTTATCTGAATACTTAAGAGAAATTAATCATGAATGTTGTTCCTAAGCTAAGCAAAGCTTCGTCACACCAAATTTTGCTATTGAAGCGAAAAATTTAATAAGGCTTCCATGCAATTCCATTAGACTTCCAGAACTGGTAATCATGTGCACTAAGAGCTTGACCTAACAGAGAAAAAAGAGAAAAGATAGTGTTTGAAGAGGAGAGGGAATCTTAGTAGTTCAGAAGGTCGAAGTTTGATTCCCACATTTTAATCATCTCCTCCTATGTATTAAAATAAAGGGAAAAGAGGAGTGGGGGCAAGAGCAAAGAAGAATAAATTCCAAAATTACATGTTATAGGTGTTATTCCTATCACAGATAACAATGTTAAGAAAATACTTGAACTGTCTATCTAAAAGAAATGGTCCACGAATATACAATTTTTCAAAATAAATCCAAGTGGTGAAGCCAAAACAATCTGTAAAAAATCAGATACTGGTTTCCATAGCAGCACAATGCCTAAATATGGAATTAAATTACCTGACAACCGACCAACTATTGTTCCCCATGGATCAATTATTAAAGTATCTCCATAACTTTCCCTTTTGTCATTATGCTTCCCTGCTTGAGCGGCAGCTATGACCTGTTAAGAGGGGTTTAGCATAATTATCCACAAGGGACACAATGGGAAAAGCGCAGAACATAATTGAGTTGATTTCACCAGAAACCATAATTGAGCTAGATTTCACCAGCAACATGGAAGCTTAAATCATTAACCGGGGAGAGAAATTTTATGGTTGCACAAAACAAACAGAATATATTGTTGATTCCATGAAATTTAAGACTGTACAACTAATTTTTTGCAGTTCTAATCTAGAAAAGCATCATGAATAACCAAATCATGTTAAAACAAACAGGTCAGAGTTGAAATAAAACAGATAGTTGCCATACATAACACTGTGTTTCAATTGCACGAGCACGAAGAAGAATCTCCCAATGTGCCTGACCAGTTACCATTGTGAAAGCGGCAGGCACTAACAAAACCTGAAACCACAGGAATGCATTTTCACTAACTTATAATTTGCTTTTGGATAAAGAGAAACAAGAGGGGAATCCATAATACCTGTGCATCATGATTGAACCTCAGTTGTTGATACAACTCAGGGAATCTTAAATCGTAACAAACGGTGACACCTAAACGACCGAAGGGGCTGTCCACCACAACAATATCCTTTCCTATGAGATTAGTCAAGGAATTCATAAGGAAAAAGAAGTTAATTTTGCTGATTATTAAATTCTAGACATGATTAATTAAAAAAAAGAACCACTAGAACGTACCAGTGCCAAACAACTCTCAAGACTGATTAATTGCGTGGCCATCTCATCTAAGAGCTACTAGAGAGAGTACACTTTTATTTTCTTAATTATGTATCAATAAGCCCCCTAACATGCCAAGCACGTTGAATTTTTTTTGATAATGGGTGGTGGTGATACTCAAACTCAGGGTCTCTGCTTTCAGGTATAAGTGTGTGGCCATTTCTTTTAAAAGGTCAAGTTTCTTTTTTAATAATGCTAAAAGGTTAAGCAATTAAAGAGAACACACTTTATTTTCTCAATTATGTTTCAACAAAGACAAGGATTTTTAAAAAAATAAAATAAAATAGGTAAATTCTATTCATCAGCATTAAGGGTATGCTGGCCACCTCCAAAAGAAAGCAATTATAAGGTTCCTATCAAATCTACAATCCGATCGACATCTTCTATATGAAGTTGTTTACACCAAAAATGTAAAGATACAATACAATTCCGTTTTACTTTATGTATGGAATTGGACAAGGAAAATGCTACAGTATAAATTTAAGATAGTTCATGTTTCAACTTGGACCACTTATACTGACATGTCAAAAAATTCTGCTAATTTTAATGGTAAAATCACATATCTTTATTGCATACTGTTCAATCTAAAACTTACTAAACTAACTATTACAAGGAAACAACTTTCAAGAAGCTACGTCCAGATATTGTCTAAGGGAAATAAATGTTAGCTTGGTTATTGTGTTTCCTACCAGCTTCAGTAAAACTGCTCTCTTTATAAACTGCACCTCCAGGAACATCCACGTCAAATCTATAAATAAAGCATAAACCACAATTAGTGTTCTAGGTAGATGGAAGTGCAAGGGGTCATCTTGCGTTCAGATTGTTCTCAGTGCCTCGTACATTAAAATTCTGGAAAGCAAACCTAACACAATTGGACTAAAAAAGAAATCATGGCCTGCAAAGCCCTTCCTGGTCATTAAGTTAACATCTTTTTAAAATTGTTAACCGCTTAGAAAATATATCCATCTGACTTGTCAATCATCCCTTGTCTAAAAATTCGAGACAAATTTGTCCTCTAAATAATTTGTCAAATGTTTTACATAACAAATGCATTATAAGTGGTCTTTACTGTTTAGCGGATAACAATATGCATATATAAACACAAATTCCATTTCAAATCAATGTTTTATAAAGCAATAAAGAATAATCTATAGAGCAATAAGGAAATGTAAAGAAAAATAGTTCTCAGATATCCTATCCGACTCTATGAGGCTATGCGCGTTAGTATTCTTTATTCGCAGAGCACAGATGCTTCAATAACTCAACATCTAGAAAATGATGGTGTAATGCATTCATTTTGCAAGGATTTCCCTTCTCTTAAAAACCAAATGACCATGATATCTGGTATTTTTAATAGAGTAGTAGATCGTTCAACGCTCATAGAATATGGCATAAGACATGTAGTTCTTGAACATGTTCTAGAGTTGCCTGGATATTAAACCAACTCTAGCTGTCCAGCATTATTTCATAAATTGGCTGACCTGTTCAAACCAAAACTCATACAACTTATACAATCAACCTATTAATTCTCTACCACTCATACTGCTTCACTTGATATGTCTTGACATTTCAAAAATATTACCACCTCACATTAGAAATCCATGGTAATGATTACTGACCAAAACAGAAGCACAACGTTGTTTATTACTAACAGTATGAAAGTACTAAACAACTTAAGTATGACAATCTTAGTCTAACGTCTAACAAAGTCAAGTTTAAGAGTCTTACAGATGCATCTTACTGTATGTGCTCCTAATATTTCCATTATCATCAATGAGAACATGAGTGTTGCGCAAGTGTGCATCGTCGCTCCCTTTTTCTTGGAATCCTCCTAGAGACAACCAAATATTTGATTCCCTGCCATTAATGGCAGAAAAGATGTCATTTGACTGAATCCACTAACACTCACTTCAAGTTCAGGAATCACTGACTAGCTATCAAGAAGAGAAAAAGAGAGAAAGACAGTAAAAGTCACACATAAAAGGGAGTAATAGATTGTTAAAAGTAAGCCAGTATGTTGTCACATAGTCATAAAGCATTGAACAATGCCGAATAATGAGAGAACAAGTTGTTAGG